GATACATGCACAGACGGGTACTGAGAGCAAATGGGTACACACTCAATTTTGTCAAGCAATGCATACGCAAAAGACATCAGAAACCGAATCCAACAGGCACAAACGTTTGAATAACTATTCCGTACGTTAAGAATGTATCGAAAGCATGCAGCCGCCTTATCATTGCACAAGGAGTTGATGCTGCACGCAGGCCGGAAGCAACCGTCAGGCACCGGCTCAAGAGACCGAAAGATCCACTGACACTGATTTCTGGAACACGCCTATTCGCTTCAAGCAGCATTGAACTTTGACATTGGTAGATTTAAAAACTATCAAAACCTATTACGTGGAACTGGGCTTTGTTGGGATTGGCATGGTTAAAAAATCTTTGACTGCAATGTCCTCCTGCATATTTTCGGGAAACAAATGCTCGACACAGGGAGCAGTATCAGCTTCGTAGAAACATAAGTACGTGTCCCGAAAACAGCGTCGTGTTTTTTAATGTCCCATATGACTGATCTTCCAAACAGTAGCATCGCCATTTTAAACATCCCATGGCATCTGCACTCAATACCTCATGCTTCCTATTTTGAAATGAAACAAGATATTGAGGCAAAATACTGCGCGAAACATGACAAGGAAGTATATATATCGGCCATGATTTCCGAAAATATAAAGCGTTGAATAGGAAGTATTTGAGTGTTTGACAAGTTTAAATAACTCTTGTCGCTGAACTGTAACAAAATAGTTGGCTTGGTTGTGGTTCGAACCAACGAAGGCAAGGTTTGAGCACAGTCCACTTTCTAACCATCAAAGTCACGAAAACATTTATGTATTGGTCTACCCCAATCACTGTTGGCATTCGATCTCCGTTGCATCTATTCTGCTCAACTTATATTCTTGCTAAGGACGCTAAATTTTTCAGCACTACGAAATGCAATTTTTTTGCTCTTTACGATATATCTGCTAGGCCGTTCACATGAAGGATCAAGTGTACTAATTATAAATTTTACTACGAAAGAGGACAGAAATAGCAATGCCTTGACTGGATAGCTGCTTTAGAAGAAGGGTAAGGTGCCCAGAAATCGGACCTATTATGTGTGATTGGGAAAAACCAAAGGAGTAGTAGACATTTTGAATATAGCTGCCCACTAATCAAAAAATTGCCTTTTTATTCCGGGAGAGGTTAGGTTTTCATTGAAGGTTAATGTACATCAAGCAGGTTTTGGCCTATCATTAATTAGGAGTGAGTTTGGTAGTTTTCGTAAAAGGCTAGCAAATATGTTTAAACGGAAACTGATTTCTGATCATTCCTTTACATGCTTCAAGGTCATAACAAACTTCATGCCTGCAGCTATAGGTAAGGTAGTGAGTTATTGAGACAATTGGTTCCACTCCACTGGCAGAATGCATTAACATCTGACTTAAGTTATTAGATATTTTAAATATTTTGTCCAGCACTGAGACCTGTGCCGATTGATAGAGTCGCAGAAACGTTTGGGTTCCGAATTGTTTCGTGAATACTCAGAACATGCTTCAAAGTGATGTAGAAGAGTAGCATATTCGTAGATACACCACAGTATATCCATATTAAGGGACAGTACGCTGACAAAAATTAATATTGTTCTATTCATTTCACTTTTACTATGTCCCCTCATCGCTAAAGGCTTAACAAGGAGACCCACCGCTGATAATTAATATAAGTTTCAGTTAATCAGGAGTTCAGTCATTTAGGACATATGGCAAAGTCTCATTTTAATTACTAATAGTTTTTACAGAACACGCCTAAAGTATATAATTGCGGTGTCGCCCTGTCATGGGTGACATATAAACCGAAATTTAGCCCGTCTACTTTGAAGAGAATTAGACTACATAAAGGAATTAGAATTATTTAGTTATCATTTATCGTGAGCCAAGAGCTATTTGAAGTATCCAGTGGCCTAACTATTGCGTGTAGACAATGAGTAGATGTCTATTAGGCTCAGTACGTACGAATAATCGCAAGATCCTGGGTAACAAACATGGAAAAAGAGCAAGTATAACACTGTTTGAAACAACGAGAACAAAACCTAACGGCTAATGAAATAATTACAATCTAAAGCTGAAACAAGAAACGAAGCTGAATTTATTGCCGAAGATGCCGATAAATGTTCAAATCAGTAACTTACTTTGGTTGTGCCGTCTCTCCACTTCATCCAGTCTTGAAAGAGAACAAATGAAGCTGACATGCAAACGGGTGACATGAAGGTATATCCGATGGAATTGCGGAGGAGACCTTTCAGAGTCACCGACCGCAATCGGGCATGTTCGATGCCCAAAATAATGGCCCGGACCACATTGGCGCACATGTTTGGTGAGGCAAACCGCACAGCATAAATTCGGTCCACAGAAGACTGCAAGATTACGTGGATCAAGAAAAAGAAATAGAAGTAAACCATTTAAGCAGGATGTGCTTCGGTTATTTTACCAACTTTTGCATGTTGTGGTGATAGCGGGAATATTTTTACTCAGAATTGTAGGGCTTTTCTTTAGACTGTATTCTTAAATGGAAATACTGGCAAACTGTTTAACTATATGTTATTGCTTTGAAACTGAATGGAAAAAAGAAGTTTCTAGAAAGACTAATGCCTCTTCGTCGAAGCCGATATTGTCGTTAATTTGAACTGAAGATCAGCACTCTCAACTTCAGTTTAAAACTAATACTTTTCTAATAACAGCAGAACAGTGATCGAATTTGAGAGGTTAAATTTATTTTAATGCGGAGAATCCGCATGTAGATCAATTACTAGCTAACATTTAAGATTTTCCGGAAGTCAATTTAGGCGAACGAACGTTTTCGATTAATTACTCACGAGGCACTAAAATGATATAAGGGCGGGTATAGATAACATATATTTAAAACTAAACGCACGATAAGGACGACAGGACGACGTGAACTAATTGTCTGCATTGTCTGACTAACAGCAACGCATTCTCAGATGCCACCTTTCAGCCTGAAGTATGGATTTTTACCTTACGTTACAAGCAGCAGCCTCTAAATAACCAAATAGGATGTCGCTGTTTATAACAACCTGGTACAAGTAGTTATGCAAGTATATATTTATATTTCAACAAAAATCACTCAAACAACCCATTATTTAGTAGCTTACCTGTGGTAGACAAAATGCGATTACTTTTTGACCATATGTCAGCGCTATTATTCCAACAAACAACATAAATAACGGACTTTTTCCAACATAAGCTCCCATTAGTGAGAATGCTACAGAAATGACAATGATAATTATTGTAAACTCCCATCCATGAATCCAACAGACCAAAAGCACGGAAACTGTGTCAAGAAGGAGCATTTTCTGCGCAAGCGTTATCGTTTAGCTGAACTGTAAATGTTGACATACGTTTGGAAGATTGAGGATGTTTA